ATATATAATATAACTTAATTAATATATGTGTATAAAATAATAATAATAAAATATCAAATATATGAAATAATATATTATTTCATGTATTTGATATTTTATGGATTTTAAAGGTGAAACAAAATTTTAAGCATTTAAGAGGGGGTGCTATTAGCATTCCCTTAGCTTTATTTGCTTAAAAAATAAAACCCGTTAACCATTTTGTAATTATTAGAAATTATTATTATATTTTTAAAATATATATATTATATTAATAAAAAAGAGTAAATTACATTATAGGTCCTTGTGGTTTATGTGTTTTAACATTCTGGATTCTTATTTTATAATATCTATGAATTACATCCTTGTAGTTTGGATTTTGTTACACATTGGGTTTCTAAATCTAACTATGTTAGATTCTTTCAGTTAAATAGGTTAACTAAAAGGACATTTCGGTCATTTTAAGTATAGGCCCCAAACATGTAATAAAAACCATAGGGACCAGACATGTAGTTTACTCTCTCTCTCTCTCTCTCTCTCTACATATATATATATATATACACACACATTTAATAAGACTTGGGATCATGTGAGACCAGCTTGTTTTCGTGAGACCCGTGAGACCAACATTTTACACTTGAAACTTCACAGCAAAATACTGTGAAAGTGATTTTTTAAAACCTTCAGAGTGTTTTTGCTGTGAAGGTTCGACTTTTTTTAAACCTTCACAGTGTTTTTGCTGTGAAGGTTACGTGTAAAAATGTGGTCTCACGGGTCTCACGAAAACAAGCTGGTCTCACGTGAACCCAACCCCATTTAATATATATATATATATATATTATTTATCTACTAACTTTCAAAAATTTCTTTATTATGACATTGTATTTTATGTTTTTTCTTATCACACAAAAAACCTAACGGAGTTAGATTTAGGGACCCAAAGTGTTATAAAATGCAAACCACAAGAATGCAATCTATAGATATTTCAAAATAAGTTCCAAAATGTTAAAACACACAACCACAGGGACCAATAATGTAATTTACTCTAAAGAAATTTGTTATCAATAACATAAAGAGTGGAATGCTCACAGTTACGCCACAATGGAACATTGGAATTTCACGAGGCAACTACATAGGGTACCATGCATCAGTATCAATTAAACAAGTATACGTGTATAAAAAACACTTAGATTATAGTAATAATAATAATCAAACAGATTATTTTTAATTTGTTTTCATCTTAAAAATATAATTAAATTTATATTATTAAAAATACGTATTATAGTTAATACACTATATTAATTAATTAATATGATTAAGGTGTAAAATAGAAAACAGAAAAGTGAGAGGTGTAATATATAAATATTAAAAGGCTTTAAAATAATAAATTAAAATAGGACAAATTAATTGAAAAATGTAACGTACTTTAACTTGATTCATATTTTAGATAATGTATTTTCAAAACTTCTATTTTAGTAACTAAGATGTAAAGTTTTAAATATTTAAGAGCCCGGATAACCGGTTAATATAATATAACTAGAAGAGTACTCGCGCAATGCAACGAAATACATCTTGATTTTAATATTTCATTTTATTCTTTATCTCAATTGATGTTATATATGGTCTTATTCGATTTTGAAAAAGTGATGATGTTTTTATTTTTGAATAAATATAAATATGAACATATCATAAAAATTTGAAAAAATATATCGATATTAATATCAAATTAACTATTTAAAATTCTTATTTTTGGTAATTTTTTAATATAATTTAATTTAGTTTCAATAATGAAGTAATTTATATTTGATTTAATAATATAATTTCTTATAAAGATAATAATTAATTATTTTGTTAGAACTCGATAATTATCCTAATTATATTTAGATTTTTTTTATAATGAAATGTTTATCCTTTATTTGATTATGTTTATCCACAGTTAGTTACACAAATTCAAACATGAAGCTTTAATAAGTTGTACTTACACATAATTTACTTGTAATCTTAAAATTTAAGTAATATACATCAATAAACAGTACTTCATGCATAAAAAATAGTTTTTAAAAAAATTTATCAAATGTTTTATAATATAGCATAGATGAGTCAATTTGTTCACAAGTCCAAATTTTTATTTATGGTTAATTTTAGGAATAAAAATTCATTCCTATTTTCATTTTTATTTCATTTTTTTTGTTTTGAATGGAATTAGTTATTAATAAAATTTTAGAAATCATATTTATAAAATACATTAAAATAAAAATGAAATATATTATTGGTAAATTTAATTTTTTTACTGTATATTTTTAATTTTTTTATTAATATTACTGAAAAAATATATATTTACAGTTTCAATATATAATTATGGTGCATTAAATTTTTGGTAAAAAAAGGTTAATAAATTTTATTTTATCCAAGTCAAATGGTCAACGTCAAAATGACTTTATTAGAAATTAATTTTCAGTTACATATTAATTATAAGAATAAATCAATGAAAAAAATAAGACCGTTATAATAATATTACTTTTATCCAAAAAAAAACTACCAATATTGAACAAGGGCGAAAAAGTCTTTTAACATTTTCAATATTTAAAAAAATCAAAAAATTGAGAAAAAAGATGATAGATATTATAAGCATTAGGTGGTGCCACCTCATTCTTCATGAGTTTTGCTTTAATATCTATACTATCTTATAAACCAGATTTATCAAAAGTATTAAAAACAATTTTTAATTCGCAAAGTACTATATATTTATGCATAAAGTCTTAAAACTCTTAAGAACAACTCATAATGCATTATGTACTATTGCTTTATGCGTTCAGTATTAAAATCTCTTAACCTACAATTAGAATAACATATAGTACAAGTGACCAATGCACATTATTACCTTTTCTTTTCATGTTTCCAAGATACTTTTGACATATTTCATTCATGCATTCACCCTCTCATACCTCTATGTCTTCTCCACATCCCCCAAGGTGAGATTCAAACTGATATTCACCATTAATTATTAAAACTCTCCCATTCAATTGCTTTAGAACTCTCGGTTTCGGTCTCGATCTCTTGATTCTCTGCTTTTGGTGTAAATCGAACATATTTGTGGAGTTGTTTAAGTATGTTGGATTTTAAACTGTCATACAAATTTTTTTATCGATAGACTGTAATTGGAACCATAACTCTTATTTATTCAAATAGTATTAATATGTAAAGACCAAGTATAACTTATATCATCGTTAAATCTCCTCTAATAAAACCAGTGAAACTTCAAAATCGTTAAAATTCACGGCTCCCGCCGCATTGCGCGGGTACATAACTAGTATATAGATAAGGTTCGCATGAGTTGGGTTAGGTTGTTTCCGGTATTTAAACAACTCAACCTAATTAAAGTGGTTTGAAAAAATATCAATGAGTAATGCTATTTGTACCCCTTTAATTTCATAATCAGGTCAAGTCATACATTAAAAATGTAAAAAATGAACTTTGATATTAATGTGTGTGAGAAGAAAAATACAGATAAAATGTGTTTAGCAATGTATAAGGGTACAATTGTCATTTTAATTAAAAATATGATATAACTTTTGTAAATTGGGGTGGGTTTGGTTGGTTATATTATACACAAAGTTTTATGGAAGAATACTGAATGCCTGCAAATTTGTTTGTATATAATTTGGGTAAATCGAACTAAGTAACGTAATTTAACTTGATTCTATTTTGGATAATATATTTTCAAAATTTTTATTTTAGTACCTAAGATGTAAAGTTTTAAACATTTAAGTACCCAGGTAACCGGTTGAAGTATTGACCGGTTACCATACTGATGTGACGAATGATGTGGTACCCGGTTAATGTTTCAGCAAATAATACTAAGTTCGATGCTACATCACTCGCCACATCAGCATGATAACCGGTTAATGCTTCAATCGGTTACCCGGGTACTTAAATGTTTAAAACTTTACATCTTAGGTACCAAAATGTAAAGTTTTGAAAGTACGTTACCCAAAATATGAATCAAGTTAAAGTACGTTACTTTTTCATGCAATTTACATGTTTTCAGATATTTATAGGGGATTAAGTGATTGAGATTTTGTCAATGGCCACTATATAATGTGTATATGATTTATGTATTTTTGGCTCTTTTATATATTAGCAACGACGGTTGAGACATGTCTAACCCAATTTCAACCCCATTGGTTCGCGATTTGGTGGGTTTGGGTTTAGCGTTATTTGCGGGTTGGGGTGGGTAGTTGGGTCGGTTTTTTGAGCGACCCCTGATTTCAAATATAGTTTGTATAGATACATATCAGTTAATTTGGACTTATACATACATAGGAAACTTACATATCAGCAAACAAACGATATGTTCTGGCATCTAGAATGATTTGTCGTACTGATGCCACAGCCCCGATCAACGAGAGCCCAGTTGACACGACACCAATCACCGTGTTCACCCAAAACACGAACCCTTTTTTGGATGGTTTGAACGTCAAGTTGTAGAAAATCATGGGCAAAATGAAATCCAAAGGGATGCAACCGAATGCACCAAACAATGCCATTATGTCTCCGAAAAACGGCAACATTGCTGCAAAAGTAGTTGCGATGATCACCGATAATGATCTTGATATCAAGCGTGGCACGAAGTTTCTCATCGAGAGCTGACTTTTCTCGGGATTTGCAAATCTGCGTTCTAAAACCACATTTGATGGTTGCAAGTAAACCTGCGTCAGTAAAAATTGATGATGTTAAAATAGGCAAACTAAACCATTGATAACAGAAGTTCGTAAACCACCAAGTAGTCCTGTAATATACGACGCAAGAGTTTACGAGGTTCAAAACGAGTAAGTTTTCCCGAAACCAAAATTGTCGAATCTAGAGGAAGATACAACATTTTAAGGACGGAAAAAACCATATTTACAGAATACAACTTATTGTATAATAGAAGATGATCATTTCCGGGTTTGAGTTGGGTATGTGACGAGCACTACACTGAACATTCGGAGTCACTTAAGATTTTCGTCCCTGTCGTTTGCCAATGATTCCGATTTTCTTCTTTGTGGTTTGAAATATTGCGATTTTGGTCCTTACGGTTTGAAATTCTCTACTGTTTTGGTCCTTGGACCAATTTTATCTTTAAGTACAAAAGGACAAAACAACAATAAATTGTAAATCATAAGAATAAAATATCAATGAATTACAAACCACATAAATGAAAACCGCAATTTCTAAACCACATGGACGAAGATCACAACTGTTAACAAAGCACAGGGGCGAAAACGGTTGTCCGAATCCGTCCATTAACTATAACAGTCCAGCTCGAACCCACCCACTTTTTCAATAATGGTTGTCCAAACTCATTTTTCTTACGGTGACGGTACATTGCGGTACCGAATGTACCGTCACTGTACATCTTTAACGTATACGTATAAGGTACAAGTTATTATAGGATACCCAACGAGTAAAAATGACCATTTTACCCCTGGAAAGAAAGAAACTTACCAAAGTACAAGCTGCTACTTGCAAAACAGTGAAGCCATTGGTCATAAGAAGGAACCATTTGGGCAACAGAGGGTTAGAATTGTCCATAAAATTTTGAAGAACAGAGCTTTGAACTTGATTACCAAATGCCCAATAACCAGAAATCCCAACACTAAAATAGTTTGAGATCACAACTGCATAACACACCAATAAGCCCTTCAGCATTTTACCCTTCACTGGTTCAGCTATTGTGGCCTGTTCCAATTAAGACCATCTTAATACTTACTGTATGATAAGTAACAGACTGACTTAATAACTGTTAAATCAACTTAAAAGTTATGGTAAAAGTTATTAGTAGTCCACAACTTTGAACTTGTAGGTAGCTCATGAATCTGGTTTTTTTAACTGGGAAAAGTTTAGAAAACCCAGTGAACTTTCTCGTTTTGAATGGTTAAGTCCCTGAATTTTTTATAATAACAGACCGTTAGAACCTTTTGAAATTGGTTACGTATATTCTTTTGACCCAAAAAAGCTACTTGTAACCGCTACGAAGGTTTTGAAGTAATAAGTATATGAGTAACTGATTGAAGCATTAACCGGTTACCATGCTGGTGTGGTATCCAACTCAGTATTACTTGCTATTCAACCCAATTTCATCTCATCACTCGCCACATCAGCATGGTAACCGGTTAATGATTCAACCGGTACATGGGTACTTAACTGTTTAAAGTTTTACATCTTAGGTACCAAAATGAAAGTTTTGAAAGTACATTATCCATAATATGAATCAAGTTAAAATACGCTACTTTTTCATGCAATTTGTTCTTTTCAAAATAGAAAAAGTTCAGTGGTTTATTTATTCAAAAAAATTCAGGGATTTAATCATTCAAATCGGAAAATTCATTGGGTTTTTTTGGACTTTCCCCCTTTTCTTTTATCAGTATGGAAGTTATTGGCAGTCCACAACTTTAAGCTTTATAAATAAGTCACAAATCTAATTCTTTACCCATATAGAGCAGATAAAACATGAATTTTTTTTTCACAAAAACCTGTATCTCGGGAATAATTCCGTTGCCGTAAGTCGTACAAATTATCGAAATAGCATTGAAGAATCCAAAAACACGATTTACTCCGATTCCCGTCAAAGAATAGTTTTTGGGAGGCGCGTGATTCGAGTTTCCTGCAAAAAGTTTCAACCTTTTACTTTCTGTTACCACTAGAAAAGACAGATAAATTTTCGACAACAATCGGTGACGGTTTTTCGTACCGATATAAATCGCACCAGCAGTTGTACAAGCACAATAAGCAAAGCACAAGATGAGGGAGACAAGGTTGATGTGCCTCAAGGAATGGAAAGATGGGATTTGGGCTAAAATGAGTGTAAAGCTTCCAAATATCACAATAAAATGGGATAATTGCATACTTCCATTTGGTCTTGCCAACAAGTATATAAACTGCACAACAAATTTGAAAAAATTAGGGCAAAAACCGAAGAATATCGAACAACGATCGCGTCGGAAATGTGTGGGTCGGGTTCGGTTCGGTTCTTGGTGTTATTATATTCTAGTTGGAACTGATTATTCACTACGACAAATTAGGGTTTATAGGATACACAAAATGTCTGAGTTTCCTGATATACTGTTTTATAGGACTTAAGGTGTTATAATAATAAAATATAACAAACAACCCTTTTAATCGAAACCGAAAGTTTTAACATTGGCTCACCTTGAGACTTTGTCCACCAAGCAAAGTACACGCAATAACGGCACCATAACATGAGCCCAATTGAAGTGGGCCCACATAGTATCGACCCCATCCCGGGCCTGTTAAGTTAATTAGAGCGGTTAATATGTAAAACGACAGTTTAACTATATGTTCGAGAGGGGTATAATTGTAAATTGTTACCTAAAATGTCGTGGGCCATGTCGCGGAACCTGAGTTGACGACGACCAAGATAGGCATAGTGTTCCAAGACTAGAGAGAGGAGATTGTAGGAGTAGAATGTGACGACTCCGGCGAGCACTAGCACCATCACACCGCTCTCCCACCCCAACAACGCCAAGGCAAATGGTAGGCTCAGTAGTGCCGGTGCTACGATCGCAGTCGTCAAATGATACCCACAATGTAACCATGATCCTATGTTATGATAAAAGAACGCATCAAGTTATAGATGTTTTTACGTAATAAAATTGTCTTTATTATATTATAAAACACTTGACAAAAGCTCTTATAAACACTTTATTTATTATCAGATCCAATTTAATAATACATAGCGTGCGCGCACACACACATATATATATAGATTTGAGATCACGTGGTGAGACCGGTCTGTTTTCATGAGACCCGTGCGACCATTTTTTTATACTTGAAATTTCACAGCAAAACACTGTGAAGGTAGGTAACCTTCACAGTGTTTTTACTGTGAAGGTTTGGCTTTTTTCTTTTACCTTCATAGCGTTTTGCTGTGAAATTTCAAGTATACAAAAGTGGTCGCACGGGTCTAACGTGAACCCAACCATATATATATATATATATATATATATATATATATATATATGGATGGATGGCGTATATATAAGCCAGGCATGAAAAAGTTTGACCATCTCGTCTAGCTCACTATGGTCCAGACTTGAGGGCTCGATAGGTTCAATTCGAAAGAACCATATAAACCTACACGAACCACTTAGAAGCCGAGCCTATACGAGCCAACCTACCCAAAAGGCCAGCCACATGCCAATCCGATCGAACCTACACCAAATTTTCCATGAACCATGCAACCCATGTTTGATTCTTCTCAAATACACTATAATATATATATATATATATATATACACACACACACACTCTCTCAGACGATATATATTATTATATAAAGATACCTCGGGATTTGAGAACGAATAGAGCTCCGGCATCAAGCTTTTTGGGAAGAGTTGCAGGTTCCGGCGGCGGAGATATATTCCGGGGGGTGGGAACCACCGTCACCATGTGGTTTGTCTTTTAGACAACAAAGTCGCTGAATGGCGATGCTTTCAATATCGTCGGCTTCCAAAGCCGATATCATTCACACCATCCATTTTTGTTCATTTATTTATTGTTATTATTTTATATTTAATTCCATATATAATTAGATATTTATATTTTAAGACGTTATGGTTTTTTTAAATACTTGGAAAATTGTTTTTTTTTTTAATTTTATATGGTTTTTTTAAATACTTGGAAAATTGTTTTTTTTTTTTAATTTTATCTTTTTGAATAATTTAAGAAAAAAATTGATTACCGGTAACTTCAATCAGTCTTATACGAAATCCTGCTTCAAGGATAATAATGTGGGGGCCATTTTTTGGCTCACTAGTAGTTGAGGCTAGTCCAGGGGTATCGAATCCAGTACCTATCTTGTATTTGGGCAAATTCGCTCTGCCCCAGCCCCCAGGGGCGGATCTATTACCCGTTGAGCGGGTTCCTTGCACCTGCTAAATTTTGAAAGGGGATCCTGAATATAAAAAATATATAAAGAACATCAATCAAAAAACTTGAAAAATTCTTCGGAATCAAATAAAAAACTTAAAAAAATCCCTTGAAAACGATGGAGTTTGGCTAAAAACATATCTAACCACTTTAAGAGACTTTGATCCACCTTAAAAGTGTACATGTTCAACAAAAATCCTAGGTACGTCGTTGCTCTACCCTTTTACCAACTGAATTACACGCTAGAGGCTCTTTGATTTATTTGTAAAATATACTGGACAATAGATGAGATTACCAGTAAAATAAAGTCAATTATATTGTGAGAATGTGTAGTATCCTGTTAACTGTAGTAGTTTCCAAAAAGGCTTTTGAGGAGAGAATATTCGTTCAACACATATTCAGAAAAAAAATGTTTCAAGTCTAGTCATTATAGGATTCTAACACATCCCTTCAGCAGAAACCAGGTGAACACAAAAGTGTCGAGGCCCAGATAAAGATTTTGCAACAGATAGTAGACTTTAATTCTGATATCAAGTGAGAATATGTAGAATCACAGTAGAAAACTGTAAATGAGTTTAGATAGTAAGAAGACTCCAAGTTATATTGAAGAGAACCAGTGTAAGTCTAGTTAATGTGAAACTTTAGCATACATATATTATCAAAAATATCTAGATATTTTATATTTTTATTAAATGACATATTAAACTAAAATTCATATTTTACATTATAATAACGAGTGTACAGTTTTTTATGGGTGGAGTCTGGACATAACCTGATAAATTCACAACATTTAACACAGACAAATAGATTCAATGACAGATAAAATTTCAAACTAACTATTTGCAAACTATTACAAGTATCATAAGGTACATGAGTACTCTTATAAATTAATGTCAGCCTTTAGGATATCAGATCCAAGAATCCATAATTAATATCAGATCTTCCTTCTCATCTTCGATTACTCGATAATTGATCTGCCCAAAAATTGTTTTACAAAATAAGCAAATCATGTAGCGTTCGACTTTGAGATCGAATATTTCATCGATGATCGAGGTCGAGCTTGATGCCAATTTAACAAATTTAAATTATATATTATACCCAAAAATTCAAGTTTTACAAGTCTTTTTATAGGCTCAAATTCAAGATCGATTTAATAAAATTTATTTTATTTTAAATTATGAACAAAAGAAAATGTAAATTAAATTGGTAAAAAATATTGGATCGACCACAGTGGGAGTCGAACCCACGACCTTTTGATCCGAAGTCAAACGCGCTAATCCACTGCGCTATGCGGTCGCTTTTGTTATTTATTCAGAGACCTAAATTAATATTAAAGTTGCATTAAGATGTGGTCAGGGAGTTTAGGGATCATAATTTGTTTTATAATATATATCAGTGTTGAAAAAGGCTTGCCATGACGACTGTTATGGTTTAAGTGTGCATTTGGTACACTGGACATGACATGATATAATAAAATAACGATCCATGTTTGACAGGTTTTTTTTATGTGGAACAGAATTGAACATGCTTGTTCCACACCTCCCTCATGGAACAGGGTGAGTGAAAGTGCAACAGACTTGTATTTTAACAATATAATCTCAAAATAAAACTTAATTTTCGTCTAGAACATCGAACATGTCTCGTTCAATATTTTATTCATTCTTTAAATTTTATTTATTGTATTTTATGTTTTTTAAACTTTCATTTCATTATTTATATACGGTTTTAATATTTTTATTACTTTACGTCATTTATTATATTTTAATAATAAAAAAATAACGTAAAAAAAAGATAAAAACAAAAATTAAAAACTACATGAACTTTTTACCTTGGTTTGACAAAAAATTTCTAATTGTTATAAACGACAATTATTTTATTATAATCTAATAAATTACATAAATTAATCAAAATACATACAAACTCATTAGGGATAAATTGATCATTTTACTTGTTATGTTATGTTTTGTTTAGTTATATCTTATCAAAAACTGAACAATAGTTCTATCTTATCCTATCTGGACACCAAACGCACCTAAGAGTCGTTTATGACACCACGTTCAGCGTGTATCACGTCATGGTCCAATGCACAGTTTTTTGTAACATGATATTTGATTTATTTTTTTCCTAACTTTTTTAGTGTCTTAAATTTTAATTTCTAATATATAACCTATTCGAAACTGTTTAATATCATTTACCCATTGAGTAATATCAGAAAACATGTGTATATATTGTTATATATATGATATAAAGATTTGTCATTAATTGTCACACTTGAACAATGTTGTGGTCTGTCGTGGCTCCTGAGGCTAAGCTTGACCTCGTCGCAGTGTCACACTTCACGCCATTTAAAACCAAATAAGAGAATAGAAAAATGGTCAAATCAAATGTGATTTAAAACCGAATAAGCTTGACCTGAGATCACCGACAATGTCGCTCGCACACCCTTCCATTGGCTGTGGTGTAAAAACACATATAATTTTACACGTGATTTGATCGTTTTCTTGTTATTCTATTTAGTTATTGTTCTTGTTTGAATTTCCCTGTATGTGTTTGTAAAAGTTAAAGATTGCATATTTCAATGCACATGCATATACACACAAACATACATGCATGCTATATATATATATATATATATATATATATATATATATATAGGGGGAAGGTCAAATGTTAACCAACAACTTTGTGTTAACTTTGAAAACCATGACAACCAATCAAATTTCATTCTTCTTGTAGGTTTATATCATGTTCACATTTTAATTACAAGGGTATTTCAGTAAATTTATTTGATATGTAATTCCCAAACAATTAATAGAGAGTTACAAATCATCAAATCCCAAAAAATATGCATTTATAATATTAATGTTTTTATTTTTTTTAATCTTGATCTTCCATGTTTATTGTTTTATCAGTTTTTAATTCGCATAGAAAACACGGCAGTAAAAATTTTCGGTATCRATCAARCTAATATGGATAAGCGCAATGGAAAATAAATCGACAACAATTATAAGATTAAAATGGTTTATAATGACAATCGGAGTTCGAGGTCGGGAATTGAAGAAATTAACAAAAGCGAATGTCTTGGTAATAGATTTTTATTTTTGTTATATTCGTTTTAATCGAAATTATGTTCATTACGATATGTTGTGTTTTTAATAACTCATCCTGTATTAATAGCTTTTTTCTTTAATTATTAAAATACGTACCTAATTCACATGTTCAAATGGAAGTACATGCACGACCCATTTTCATATTGCCATATTACCAACTTTTATGAATCATGAATCATTGTGTTCATGTTACTTAGCTTATATCATTTGAACACAAATGTTATTTTTAAGCTTGATACCAAATCTTTATATTTGTGTAAGTGTTTGCACCCGGTGTTCATAGCGTTGGGGTTATGTGTTCATATATTTTATACGATATGAACAAGAGGTGAACACGATATGAACAAGGGATGAACAACCATATAAGATCATAAACATATATGAACAAGGGGTGAACCTTAAACGGTGTGGATGCAATGCATGTATAAAACTCCAATTGACAAAGTATCGCTCTTGAATGC